GAGATTTCATTAACCCAAAGCAAGAAACATGTATACAAAGTATACTGCTAATTAAAATTCAAAAGGAAACAAAAGAAAATAAGGGGTGGATGGTGAATCTTCTGCTCTATTACAAGCAGCAAAACATCCATACCACCAACCAAGAGCAAGTGCCAGAAACATCCACAAAAAAACAACGGAGCAGGCAGCGCAGAAACCAGGGGATTGAACAAAACAATTCACCCCAGCAACATCCACCACACTAGCACATCAACAGGAGAGAAAGCCAGAAAGCCTTGGAAATTATTGGCAGCAGAGCGAAAACAAAGAAGAGCAGACAAAAGCCAGAAAGGCCTGAGAATTTCTGACCGCAAACAGCAGAGCAGACAGAGAAGCAGCCAAAATGAAACACTGCAATCAAGTGCCAGAACTTCCTTCCAGCAAAGCATAATAAAACACTTCAAGGTCGATCAAAAATTTCCCTTGGCAGATCCCATTGTCTTTGAAGCCAAAGATTATAGGGGTGGTTTGGTGTAACTATCTCACAAAATCCTGTTGAGATAGTTGCTATTTAGATGCAGCCTTGATTCCTCAACTGCACTTTGCTGCCTTCTTGAGGTAAATGGAACCATGGGGGTGACCCTCAATTATCGTTTCAAAGAATAATACTAGTGATTTCATCATTGACAATAATATTTTTTTAACTAGAGGCCAGGCAATTCCTCTTGATAATGGACTCCATATACTATAACTATTGATAATGGACTCCATCTAAACTTGGGACATGCTGTTAATCCAATAAGCATAATAAACTAGATTTTTAAATTATGTTCAAGTAACATTATTCTTTACATAATTTTCTCTCACCTATTTACCTCAAAGGTTCGCATTATCTAACACCACGTGTAAGTGAGCATCAAAGCTTTATACCTTTCACACAGGTTTTTGAGATCAACACCCGTTTCAAATTAGGTTTGGTGATATCGTACAATTCAAAACGATTACACTCGAACATGACACAAGCTAAAATGACATTATTTGAATATCATCCGACTTCAAAGAAAACAACATAATTAGATTGACACCCTAAATATAACTACTCTCAAAATTCTAACTTGGCACAAAACCCCAATAGCTAATTATAACCAGCCATGCACCAAATGAAAAGTATATATCAATACCTTTTTTTTTGGGGTTAGGTATTATTCCTGGGAGTTCGAACCGACAACGTTAAGATCCAAAAGCAAGAGCGATTGATACACTAACCTCAAATATATATCAATACTTACCACACTAGTTTTGGATATATATCTACATAAGAGCCTTTACCTTAGAGATGATTACATATTGATTGTCTTTTAATCAGTTTTCTTCTTTCTTAATATTGGTATTAGATAGCCCCCTAATGCAATAAAATCATGATGTATTATACCTCAATGGCATAGAAAGACATGTATAATGTTTGCCCATATACTTACACATTCCCAAGTCGTGTCTTATTGAGTTAGTAGTGTGTCAAAATATACCCAACTTATTCATAATTATGGATAGTCTATTCATCACGAGTTTGGTTCATTCGGTGTATAAGTTGTGTTTAAATCATATTTAATTGAATTCTTATTAATTCATTTATTTGACGGTCTAACCATCCACCGTTTATCAATCCAAAATTATCTAGGTTAAACTCAAATCCATTAATGAGGTGCCCATTTCGTCTTAGGTCCAGGGTTCCGTCTAAAATTGCTAAATAGGTTCACATGAGGGAAAAAAAGTAAAAGAACAGAGAGGTTTATAAAAGAACAAGATACCACAAAAAGATCTAACCGAAACAAGGCTTTATTATTGATAAAATGGAACTGTGTTTCACCAACAGGGATTAGATAGATAAGATGAGTTGTGGATCTTCTTTCTAAACTACAACGATGCTACTACACATATAAATGACTTCACTCATCATAACTAGTGACAGGCGCAGGAGGTGGCGGAGGCTGAGCCTTCCTAGGTGGCTTCTGTTTCGGCGGAGATTTTGGGCTTGGCGCTTCTGTTGGAGGTGGTGGTGTTGGCGGAGTCTTCCTAGGAGGATTCCGCTTCGGCGAAGATTTTGGACTTGGTGCTGGTGATGGTGGGGGTGGCGGCGGTGATAGTGGCTTACCCCTGAACCTGGGTGGCTCCTCCATTTCATTTTCCATTGTTGTTGCTGGTGTTAGTGGTGCTGGTGGTGTTGGTGGCCCTGGCGGCGGCTTCCGAGTCGTCGGAGGTGCGTCTGGTTGTGGTGGTGTTGGGGGGTGATTGTGTTTGCGCTTGTGCTTAGGTGCTTCCTCCATTAGTTCCGCTTCTTCCTTTGGTGGTGATATTGGAGCTCTCTTTGGTGCCTGGTGGTTGTGATGTTTTCTCAGGTGGTGGTGGTGGGGGTGGGGGTGGTAGGGGTGGCGATGGTGGTGGGGGTGGTAGGGGTGGCGATGGTGGTGGGGACCAGGAGCGTGTGTTGGTGCTTCTACCTTGTGCTTAGGTTCTACTTCTTCCTCTGTTGATTCCATCTGCACAAAAGCAGACAGGTCAACAGGTGATGGTTGCTCCTCCTCATCCACTGCCACATCACGGTTGTGATCGGCAATGGAAGGAGTGGTGAGAACCACCAGACCAAGGAAGAAGAGTAACAAGTATGGAGTGGGCATCTTCTAGGGGTGCGAAGGACTGGGTTGGTGCAAAATTGGAGAAGAGGGGTGGTTTTTTATAGGAGGGTTAGACCAATCACCATTAGACACATGTTCACTGCATGTAGGAGGCTATGTGTGCGAATGGGTACCTGCTTGTGAATGGGTTTGTGTCCCATCCCATTCTTACCTGTGTGTGAATGGGTTTGTGTCCCGTCCCATTCTTACGTATGTGTGAATGGGTTTGTGTCCACCATATTTAAATAGGATCTTGGTGTTTTTGGTAGGTAATATATCCCTAAAGCTGGAAAAGATACATTTGGTTGGGAGTAGTAAGAAGTGTCGGATGCAAAAAGTTAACTTTAGTTTATCGTCAAAGTAAAAACATTTAAGTACGATAAATTACCAATGGAAAAAATTGAAACAAAAGATAGGTATTTGTTTCGGCATTTTTGTGCCGAAGCAAAAAGTGACTATATGCTTAAGCAAATGTCGAAGCAAATAGTCTTTTTTTTGCTTTAGAATTTTGCTGATACAAATAGTCCCTTTTTTTTGCTTTAGCATTTTGTCCAAGCAACTACTTTTTTTTTCTAAAAAAAANTTGCTTTAGCATTTTGTCCAAGCAACTACTTTTTTTTTCTAAAAAAAAATATTTTATTTACAATAATATTTTCTCTGGGCAAGCATACATATCTCATAAACTGATTAAATGTAAAAAATATTTAGAAGACAACACTAAAGTAATACAATAAATCAATTTTAATATTCATTATCAAAAANTAAAAAATATTTAGAAGACAACACTAAAGTAATACAATAAATCAATTTTAATATTCATTATCAAAAAAATCCTAACAAGTACATGATAGTCGAAGTTTTCAGAAGTACACAAAATTAAAAATTCCTATTGAAAATATCAATATATGATTGAACTAAAAAACTCTTTCCCAATGCAACAAAAAAATATTTTCTCCTAATGCCCTATCCACCCTTTGTCGATAACCTGTAAACATACGATTGTTGTTATGATGTATATGAATAAGACAATCTGCCTCTTCATAATGGATTTGAAATTTTCGAGCACATAAAGAAATGCTAAACATATCTGCACAAAAAGAAAAAATAATCTTGAAAAAATAGCACACTTAAAGTCCAATTTAATGAATTACCCAAATTTGATAGTATTGATTCCATCTCCATTTCCAAATTCGACAATACAAAGAATCCCTTCCAAATTCAACAACGTAATCAAACAACATGGCCACATGTTTAACTTGAAACCAATATTGTTACTGTAAATCAAGAGCTTGAACCTCTCAAGTATAGAAGATAAAGCAATTTNTTTAACTTGAAACCAATATTGTTACTGTAAATCAAGAGCTTGAACCTCTCAAGTATAGAAGATAAAGCAATTTCAATCACAACCATTATTTAATTTCAAAAAGAAACATACTTAATTATGAGTTAGAAGGATCAAATGATGATGGTTATAGTTGGGGGAAGTATGGGCAGAAAGATATTCTTGGTGCTAAATACCCCAGCTGACATGTCTATTCTCTTTCCCACATCCAAGTCACGAAAGCCACTCATTCACTTATCATTTTTACTGATAACATAAGCACATGCATCAAAGCTTTACTATTCACACAGGTTTTTGAGACCAACTTCCCCCTTCAAATTAGCTTTGGTGATATTGTCCAACTCAAAGCAACTAGACTCGAACCTGACACGAGACAAAATGACATTACCCAAATATCACACGATTTGAAATGTAACGACATAATGAGGTTGACACTCCATATATAACTCCAAGAATTCTAACTTGCCACAAAACCCCTATAGCAAATTATAACCAGCCACGTAGGGGCGGAGCCCCCTGCAATTTTGAAAAATTTTGGGATCCATTTAGCATTTTTAAAACTTTAGGATCTTGTCCCCATTAAAATATTGTAAAATATTTAGGGCATTTATGTATTTTAAATATGGGGTTTATGCAAATATGGTAGATTTGCAGGTTGAGAGGTCCATGTGTAAGCCTCTATGTATTTGGGGACTACAGAGCTAACATCAAAAATACAAATTTGTTCTTCCCCTAACAAAATTTGGCCCAAAAAAGAAGTTTCCAACAAAAATATAAAATGATCCTAACTGTATGTATCCTCACTCGTAAATCTAATGATTCCAAATGAAACAAATATTTAATTAAAATTCCAACATATTTGTATTTATTTTGGGTCACACCCGATCTCTATAGGACAGTGGCATCCAATTTTTCTTATTTGGTTAAATTTTAATGAAGTGTTTTAGTGCTCATAATTTTAATACGACTCATGAACATGTCACAAAATTAACTCGGAATTAAGGAGGTTTAACCTTAATAGATTTGGGTGATAATGAATGGACCCATTAAATTTCCCAAATAAATGATTCAATGGAAATACTAATAAATACAACACATTTTTATTAAACATAACGGATGCATAGTGCAAACACTATAAGATATGAACATAACTATATAGGATTATAAACATTATTTTCTTAAAATTTTTCTGTTTAAGTATCCTTTACTTTGTTTTCTCTCTCTTCCATCTTCTCTGAATTTAATCTTTCGTTCATTCGTTTTTGAATTCTATTAGCATTTGTCTAGTACATTGAGGGGAGAACTTTTAAAGAAAATGACAAATTCTATTGGAGTTATTGTGAGAGATAGCACAAAAACGATTTCTTTGATTTCAATAATTTTTGCAATTTTTTTTTTATTTTCTTAGTACTATAATTAGGGTTATGTTATTATTATTATTATTTGGCTAACAGTTGGCAATAGAGCTATGATCATTTAGATTTGAACCGAAAGATGATGACTCCGATCGTACATCAATCTCTTTGTAATATTATGTACAATAGTTGATCTCTTCGAAAATTAGATAATAATGAAAGTTTAATTTAAGAAATGAGTTTACTTGTATGATCTTAATTGACATTTATGAATAGTTTTATAGGGAGTTTTTTAAAAAAACATTTTTTACACTGCTCTTTTATGCAATTATTTTTGCGAAAATAAATATTAGCATTCGTATTGAGTTCTATGTTGTCCCCAGTGTGGGAGAAGTATGGCTCCACCCCTGCAGCCACGCACCAAATGAAAGGTAGATATGAATACCTTTTTTTTGGGTTAGATATTATTATAGAGAAGGGTTCGAACCAGCGACATTAAAGTCCAATAACAAAAGCGATGATTACACTAAACTCAAATACATATCAATACTTACCGCACTAGTTTTGGAGATATATGATCCTATACCTTAGAGATGACTACATATTCATTTCGTCTCATGTCCACGGTTTCTGTCTAAAATTGCTTCACATGGGGGGAAAAAAAAAAAAGAATAGAAAGTTTTATGATTTAGATCTAACGACCGAAACAAAGCTTTATTATTGATAAAATGGAACTGTGTTTCAGCCAAAGGGATTAGATAGATAAGATGAGCTGTGGATCTTCTTTCTAAATTACAACTCTGCTAGTACATACAAATGACATCAGATGTCATAACTAGTGATAGGCGGTGGCGGAGGCTGAGCCCTCTTTGGTGGATTCTGCTTTGGCGGAGATTTTGGGTTTGGCGCGCCAGTTGGTGGTGGTGGAGGAGGCTGAGCATTCTTTGGTGGATTCTGCTTCGGTGGAGATTTTGGACTTGGAGTTGGTGGTGATAGGGGTGGTGGTGGCGGTGCTAGTGGCTTACCCCTGAATCTTGGAGGCTCCTCCATTTCATTTCCCTTCTTTGGTGCTGGTGCTGCTGGTGTTGTTGGGGACGGCGGCGGTTGCTGATTCGTCGGAGGTGCTTCTGCTGGTGGTGGTGTTGGGGGGGTCTTATGCTTGTGCTTGTGCTTTGGTGCATCCTCCAATAACTCAGTTCTCCTTTTAAGTTCTGGTGCAGGTGGCGTTGGTGACCCTGGCGGCGACTCCGGCGTCGTCGGAGGTGCTTCTGCTGGTGGTGGTGTTGGGGGATGCTTGTGTTTGTGCTTGTCCTTAGGTGCTTCCTCCATTAGTTCTGCTTCTTCCTCTGCTGGTGGTATTGGACCTTCTCTTTGGTGCCTGATGGTTGTGACGTTTTCTCAGGTGGTGGTGGTGGGGGTGGTAGGGGTTGCGATGGTGGTGGGGGTGGTAGGGGTTGCGATGGTGGTGGGGGTGGTAGGGGTTGCGATGGTGGTGGGTACCAGGAGTGTGTGCTGGTGCTTCTACCTTGTGCTTAGGTGCTACTGTTTCCTCCGTTGTTTCCATCTGCGGAAAAGCAGACAGATCAACAAGAGGTGGTTGCTCCTCCTCATCCCCCACCACATCACGGGTGTGATCGGCGATGGAAGGAGTGGTGAGAACCACCAAACCAAGGAAGAAGAGTAACAAGTATTGAGTGGGCATCTTCTAGGGTTGTGAAGGACTGGGGTGGTGCAAAATTGGAGAAGAAGGTTGGCTTTTTATAGGAAGGTTAAGCCAATCACCATTAGACACATGTCTTCACGGTTTTACTGCATGTTTTCCAGGAGGCTTTCGGTCCTGTAACATTAATCCCCTTGTTTGGTGGCTTGTTGTCCTATCCCATTCCTACCTGTGTGTGAATGGCTTTGTGTCCACCATAGTTAAATAGGATCTCCTTGTTTTTATGGTAGATAATATTTTATCCCAAAAGCTGGAAAGGATGAATTTAATTGGGATAAAGATAACCTGTCCTGCTTTGAAATGAGGGGGGAAAGAACTAGAGATACTAATGAAAGCTTATAATGTTCAGGTTGAATTATTTTAAATTTATTTTTTTACTAGTTAATTCGAATGGAACTCATTCAATCAATGACTTTTGATATTTTAATTCTTACTGAGACATGTTTATTATTATGTCATGTTCGAATTAACCCGCATAACTCATAATTGAGAAACATAGCTTTAACCTTAACCTATTGAATTTTTCAAAAATGTACCCAAAAGATGGTTTTTATTCAAAGTATTTCTCAAATCTAAGTTGTTTTAAAAAATTCAGTTGAAATGACGTTTTTAAACTGAAAGACGTCAATGGTTTTTTTTTTTTTGGTCAAGAAAAGACATCAGTTGGAGTAATTTTTTTAGGCAAAAAAGTTGGACCAAATGACGTTTTATGTTGCTAGATAAAAGTCATATAACACACCTGAAAAGTTCAGTTGGACTGACGTTTTTAATAGAAACGGCAGTTTAACTGACGCCTTCTAAAAAGTCAGTCCAACCGACGTTTTTTCTAACTGTTTTTTTCTTAGTGTTTTTTTTATGAGTAAATGTTTCATTTTACTTATTAAAAAAATTTAGTTATATTCAGTAAATAAATTTTGATCATTTAAAAATACATAAATTTTCGTTGATCCTACTAATGTTCTTACTTAAAACCTAAAACTATTTTTCTCCCTCTCTTTTTTATGAGTAAAATTTTAATTTTATTTATTAAAAAATTTAATTATATTCCGTAAATAAATTTTGATCATTTAAAAATACATAATTTTTGTTGGTCCTACTAATGCTTTCCTGAAAACCTAAAATTATTTTTCTCCCTCTTTTTTTTATGAGTAAATGTTTAACTTTATTTATTAAAAAATTTAGTTATATTAAGTAAATAAATTTTGATCATTTAAAAATACATAAATTTTTGTTGGTCCTACTGATGTTTTACTGAAAACCTAAAATTGTTTTTCTCTCTATTTTTTTTATGAGTAAATGTTTAATTATATTTATTTAAAAGTTTAATTATATTTAGTAAATAAATTTTGATCATATCAAAATTAAAAAATTGAAAACATATACATATAATTAATTTTATATATATGGTTGTTATAATTGATCATGTCGACAATAATATTTATTAAATGGTGTAAAAATATAAGTTATTCATAATCAAAAAATTGAGTATTTATTTCATAACACTTTGCAGTGAATCTGATAGGCGTAAAAAAGAATGTTAATAACGTGGTTGATATTCAAAACAATATAAAGGATTATCGAGTACATATAAACATGATAGGATAAAAGTGTCAGACACATCATCGTCCAAATCAGAGAAATCAGAAAGTTCAGAATTAGAAACAAGTAATGAATTCTCTAAAATTTCAATTTCAGCATATTCAGGATCAAAATGCTCTATTTTTGTATAGTTGATTTCATGGAAACGATCAAGAAGACGCTGCATTTGATCATTTTTACATTCAAATCTTGATATGACCTCGTCATGATTGTTTGAATTCTGTGAATTGTATACATCATCCGAACGTGCCTTTGGTACTGCAAATACATGTCAACGATAAAATATTTCAAGGTTACAATATTTGTCATATAACTGTCGTAATCTTAATGTGAGTTCGATATGAACACCTGGAGGTGGATAGTTAATTTTAGACCCAACAATTACATGTCCAGACCGAATGGATGATAATGGTCAATAAGCTCATTGCAAAATGCACGCTTTCATCCATACCACGTTATACCACTGGAATCAATATATGGTCCAATAGAAGGAACTTTATTCAGTGATGTTGATTTGTCAATTGAGCGTTCACATTTGTTAATCGAAGATGAACTATTTTGGTCACTGCGTGAAGAAGAACCTTCATTGGTTTGTCTGTATTGTGTATGTGATATGCACCTATGCATCTTGTTTTGTGGTGGTGCATTTACACAATTGTGAATGCTAGTGTATATATGCCCGGTTTGACAATTTAAAATTACAATGAAAGGACATCACACTGCAAAGTTCAAAAATATCATACTTAATGGTCTTGTTCCTCGTTATTCATGTTTTCTTGTAGGAAATTTCATACTTAAACTTCTCATTTATATTCTTCTGAATTGTTGACATTTTTTTTTGTGCTGTATCACCAACTAGTCCTAGTATGTTATGACATATGAAGTCAGAGTCTAACTGTCGATGGTTACGACTCATTCACGGGTAGAAGCAGGTATGAGGTCTATCATATTTTGTGATTTTGAAATATTTTTAGTTTTTTTCTAAAACAAGTGCGTAGTATCCACGTGTAGTTAGGTTGCATGTACATGGTGCACTATACAACCCACACAGTTGTGTTCATCTCAACCATGACATAATCCTGATTCAGCTTGATTGAATACCATTTAACTGCTCTAATCAATGAAACTTTATCCTGAAAAATCATGCTTTTCGTCAACTCCATCTTCACCGGATCCCACAAATTCATTTCATAAAATGGTACAAATTTATCTGTTTCAGAATGCTGACGAAATTTAGTGGTTGTGAATGAGGTGGAGTAAGACTTATGCATCCGAACAACCGATGAGCCAGTCTTAATGTCTTCATCATCCTCATCTTCGTCATCCAGTTCAACAAGCATTATTTTCTCAAACTCTTCTTCTTTTTCTTCTTCATCAGAGACATATGTACAATTAGTTGCACACATTTCTTCATATTCCTTGATTAGGCTTTGTTGCATTATTGGTTGATGGACATCATCTTATTCACCCAACTCAATTCTCACTTCATCCATTTGAAAATTATGACTCAATGAATTATTGGCTGAGTACCCACAGTATGTTGTGAAGCCAATTCTTTGTTAGGTGTACGAGTATTGCCCAAACTTATCCATTACCTGCATTCCCACGGGAGTTGAACAATCACCCGTCACCCTGGAAGTTGAAAATGTCAAAGTACCCATCTCTTGCCTAAGCAACTCAGTGTAAGACATGACAGTGGTTGTTATGCACCCTTCGGTTTGACTATTGTCTATGCCAGTATTGGTGTCCTCCGTCTCCACGTACAAAGCAATACTAGCAATGCTAGGGTTGTCAAGTATCACATTAACCACAAAAGTCACAAGTTCATCATTCACAATTTTCAGACTGATATATGTATTCATGTTTGGTCTTATTCCAAGTGTAAAAAGATACCTATATATCAACTTTAACTTGTTATGCGTCATGTCCAATCCCAATACAATGTAAATTTTACTCAACAACTCCGGCATTTGTGTACCACTATTAATAACAATTACACATTTTGGGGGAAAATTGTATGATAAACCCTCTGATCCATATTCCATTCTTCCACCTCTAATATAGCAAAACAGTTACTTGTTTTCCTGCTATTTCAATTAGTTTCCGTTGTGGGATAAGTTCTAAATTTACAAGAACCTGGGAATAGATAGAAAAGGTCAATACTTGAGGAAGAATAGATCCATAGTTAATCAAAGTCTCACAGAATTTAACGCATGCGATATACAAGGATTGATAAAATATGAAAACCTTAGGGTTAGAAGCATCAAGCAAGCAAACAAAACAAACAAACAAATTGGGAGATCAAACCAATACCATAAACTTTGATACAAACAGTGACAGTGATAGTGCTTGCTAACTAAGAGACATAACAACAATATTATTACTGACATTGAGAGAGCGAGATGGTGTTGAAAAATTGAGTTGCTTGGACATTTATGCAAATTTTATGGAACTTTAATTATATACGAAATCTTAAACAATTTATAGAAATGTTGTTCAATTAATGTTTTACATCGTGAGCAGAGGCTTAGGTCGACTTAAAACTACTATTGCAGAATGGAAAGAAAGCTTAGACCTTACTAAATGGGTGGTTTTCTTTTTTTTTTTTGATAGGCTTTTATGGGAGCTATATGTTTTTTTTCATTTTTTTGGACATATGGTTTTCAGCTCATTGTTATACACAAAAACAAAAGATAGAGAGACATGCACATAAAATATATTTTGAACAGTTCAATCAAGACAAGCCCTTCCAAACCACGAACTGATAAAGACAAACCCTTCCAAATAATCTTCATTGTCTAAACAATGAGGATTGGTACCCATGTTAGCTACTCTACATTTGAGGATTGGTGACACCATGTGATTTAATGACATGGTGTCACCGTTATATTGAATATTTACTCGTGGTTTAGGACTAAAGTGCAATAGCTAATGAGATAATAAAAAATGTGGTATAAAACTATAGTAATAGGTTTTATTTTCATTTTTTAAACATTTTCTAAGTAAAAAAAAAACCATTCAAATTTAAAAATATTCTTACTGCATAGAAAGGGAAAAGATAAAAAGAGACTGAGGTTTTTAGAGAGCCAAAAAATATTACTACAAAGGTGATGATACGAAATCGAACCACAAAGTGATAATCTATACTTTGACTTTAGATAACAAAAAATATATATATATTCTTCGAATTTACTAGATAGTTATTAGCAAGGTGGCACTGCACCTGCTAGATCATAATGCTTCAACTCGTTGAAAAAGATTAATCTATTCCTCCATGGAAATCTATTGGTAAGAATAGTAGCAAAAAGTCTTCAACATATAGAGGAGAAGCGAATGGAGCAAGTTGCTTGAATCCCATAATTCTCTAAGTAAATAGAAAAACAATATACATATGAATGATGTAGAAGTTGAAGCAATGAACAACATAAATAATTCTAAACTACAGCACTGAAGTAATATAAAACCTGTCTGAGATTTCAAAATATTTTTTTCCCTAAAACACCACCATTTCAGCCAGCAAAACTACACTCTTGTTTGCTTCAAAAATTCAATCTGAATTTCTTATAACAAACGAAAATAAGTTTACTTCACCATAATCAATCAATTTTCCTCTTTGAACTTATAGATGTTATTTAGCAACTCAGTTAATCATTGATCAACTTATGTCGATAGTGACAATTCAAGTTCATTATATAAAATTTCTACTAATATGAGATCTGAATAGTTAGATATATGGAGTCTTTGCAAAATAATGAGGATTGGTTCCAAACAATCTTCATGGTCTAAATAATAAAGGAGATAGCCCTGTTGAACAGATCAAATCCTTGCTCTAAGATTTAGCATTTTTCTAAGATGTTAATTACTTGTAACAAAAAACTATCTGAATAATAAAGTATTGAATAACAATACATTAGATGTAGCACATTTTGTTCGATGGACTTCAAGAAGAAAAAAAAACTCATACCTAGTTGAAGAAATCACCGATTGGGCCAGGATGGTGGGGGTGCTACTGGGGATGGGGGTTTCCGATGTGGTGGTGTTGGGCCTGTGTAATAGTGATGGTGGCACTTTCAATTGGTGGTGCTGGTGGGGTTGTGGCCTTGGTGGTGGTTTTGTTCGTGGTGGAATGGGGTCTGTGATTTTGAATTTTGAATGAGGTAATTTGGGGAAAGGAAGGCAGAAGGGAAAGAGAAAGGGACTAGTTAGCAACACTAAAGACGTTTTCAAAGGTGTTTTTTTCTGACTTTTTTTCACAAAAAAAAATGTTTTTAAGGACGTTTGTTCGAACAACATTTTTACACAAAAACGTCATTTTAACTAACGTTTTTTTACTCTAAAAACGTCAGTTCGAATGACGTTTTCAAAACTGCACGAGTTTGGAAAAAAGTTTGAAAACTACAATATTTTGGGTATATTTTTGAAAAACCCCATGGATTGGGGTAAAAGCTATGAGAAACATGGGACTATGGCCTCTTCTTTTCTCAACCAAATCCACCGCTCCTGAGCCTCTCATAAGCTAATAATCCATTTGATCCAATTGCTGGAAAAATTAAATAAGAATTCCTTGAAGTACTCGGTTGTCTATCCTTTTTTTTTTTATCAATGAACCCAATTTTACCAATAAAAAAGGCTCATTTTTTACACTAATGTTTGAGAATACCATACTAGTTCGTGCCAAGCAATTTTTGGTGATGGGTTGTCAATAGATTTTCCTGGCTGAAAATCCATTGGATTGCAAGTCGGTCACCTGTAAAAGATCTAGGCCAGTGCTAGTGATTTCTCAAAACTAATACTCTCTACCTTTCTATTTAGATGCAGTCTTGATTCCTCAACTGCTCTTTGCTGCCTCTTGAGGAAAATGGAACCACGAGTATGAGCCCCAATTATCATTCCAAAGACTAATATTAGTGGTTTCACCATTGCCAATAATATTTTTAACTAGAGGCCGGGAAACTCCTCTTTGGCTTTAGTACTTAACCCACAATTCAAGGGACAAATCTGTGGTGTTTTTTAAGTCCCAAAAATTCGTGCCTTTTGCATATGTATAATAATTTTTAAACTTAATTTATTGACTTAATTTATTATAACTACTGATAATGGACCCCATCTAAAATTGGATATGTTGTTAATTCAATGAGCACAATGAATTAAATTCGTAAATTATATTCAAATAACATTACTCTTTACATAGTTTTCTCTCACGCATTTACACCAAGGTTCACATTATTTGACACTGCGTGTAAGTGACTATCAAAGCTTTATACCTTCCACACAGGTTTTTGAGACCATCTCCCCCTTCAAATTAGGTTCGGTGATATCGTACAATTCAAAACAACTAGTCTCAAATATGACACAAGTCAAAATGATATTATTTGAATATCACCTGACTTCAAACTAAACAACATAACTAGATTGACACCCTAAATATAACTCCCAAAATTCTAACTTCCCACAAAACCCCAACAACTCATTATAACCGGCCACGCACCGAATGAACAATATATATCAATATTTATCACTAGAGGTAACAAATAAGCAGATTGGATTTGTTATGGGCAAGTCCAAGGTCCAAGTCGAGTCCAGGTTCAGGGTTTAGGTCCAAGTCTGGTGTGTGTGTGGTTGGTGTATTACTGTGTGTCTTTGTACACTGGTGTGTGGTATGTGTATTGGTATACTAGTGTATGTGTGTATATATTTTTTGGTGTATTAGAATGTGTTTTATTTTATTAATGTGTGTGTATGTTTAGGTGTATTAATGTGTAGGAGTGTTTAAATTTCTGATTGGTTACAATTACCTGACTCTACCCGACCTTACCATACCTTACTGAACGGCTAGACACAAAAATTAAGTAGGAATGCAGAAAAGTTGTTGGTCTTTCGATTAAATCGGATAGGAATGCGAAATATCTATCAATTTCTGTATTTCTACCCTACCCTATCCACATTAATTAATTAATATATATATATATATATAATAAAAAAACGTCTCACTCCACTCCTCTACTCTTGCCTCCATCGGCTTTCATCGCTCAAGCCCTTGCCTCAATCGCTCACGCCTTCATCGTTCAGTTCCGACCTCCCTACTCTCTCTCTCTCTCTCTCTCTCTCTCTCTCTGTGTGTGTTTGGGCGCAATCTGGTGGCCTTCATCGTTTAGGATTTCATCTACAAATCTGATTATTTTTTTTAAACATCAAGTTAATGAACCTCAAAACCCTAGTTTTCAAGCATCGTTCAGGCCTTCTCTGTTTTTTTTAAGCTTTCAAAACTTATCCAGTTAACATAAAAAATCGGGTAATTGTTGTTGTAGTTGTTTTAGGTTTTAGTGTTATTGATTTATTGTGTTGTTAAATTGGTGCATGTTATTTATTTGAATTATTAAAATGATTCAAAAATTAATAGCTACAAAAGTGTTTGTCCGACTTTCTACCCGATTAATCGAGTATGAAATTGGGTAGGAATAACGCACCTGATCGGATAGAATATGTCAAGAAAAAATTCTTCCACAAAGTATCATGTAGGAAGACGAAAAACTATATTTCCTACCCATAGAGTAGAGTGAACACCCCTACTAATGTGTGTATTAGTATGTGTGTATTTTTTGGTGTACTAGTTAGTGCACGCGTGCATTGTGCGCCAACTAATTTTACTTTTTTAAAAAAAAATAGATAAATTAAACCAATTTTCGTTATATAAAAATGGCTATATATTACATAATGGTTATTGAATTTTATAGGGCTCATTTATCCACATGTTCCCTTGTTAGTAGATAGTTATACAAAGTGACACTGTTAATGTGGGGTAACTGTTACGTTTAAGATTTTTCTCTTATTTTGGGTTGTATGAACTGAATTGCATTGCATTTAAAAATTGTAATGTTTAACTTTAGTAAGGGACTAATAGTTGGATAACTACTGATTTTTTGGACTAATTAGAAGTTATTACAATAGGTTATTATTTTCTTTTGAAGGATAATATTATCAATCAATTTTTTTTGATAAGTATTAACATTCAAAAGTAGTATATAGACTATTAGATCTATTCAAATATTTTTTTTTTAGCAAATTTGGATATGCACTATGTACCTACAAACTTATGATGTAATTTGGTGATTATTTAACAAAAATTGAGGAGAAATCTATCTGTTAAATGTTAAAATCGTCTCTAATATACTTTTTCAAATCAAAACGGATATTTATTTTAACGGATCACATTGTTCAAATCAGATTTAGATTCATTTTATATTATTTAGAAAGAAGATAATTAAAAGTTAAACAATGAATTTATTAGTTGAATTAATGCAAGTAATAAAAAAATAAAAAATTCTTAAAAAATGGTTAAAGTAGACATTATAGAATTTTTGAAAAATAAATAAAAAAATAAAAAAAAATTCTCTTAAACTACTTTAAAAATGATAAAAATAGATATTATAGAACTATTGAAAGATAAATAAGGAAATTAAAATTTTTTCACTTAAGTCACTTTTATTAGTAGTATAGATAGATTAGTGTATATGTATGTGTTTTGGTATATTAATATATGTGTATATTTTTTGGTGTATTAGTGTGAGTGTGTATTTTTTGATATATTAGTGTATTCTTAATTTTATTACTTTTGCTATTTATAAAAATATAAATACTTAACCCAACGGTACCTATTTGTAATCCATTTAATTAAAATAAATCATATTACGTAACTAATTTATGACCTACATTAATTAATATAAATATCCAACACATTAATTATAAACGAATTAAGCAAATTAATAAGTAATAAATTAATTAAATCATGTTTAATTCGGTGCTTAGCAATTTATTTATATGACGGGTCTAACGGTCCGTCAACGCTGTTTATCAATTCAAAATTAGTAAGATTAAATTTAAATTCATTAATCTGGTGCCCGTTTCGTCTCAGGTTTCTGTCTAAAATTGCTAAACCGGTTTACATGAGGAAAAAAAAATAAAAGAACAGAAAAATGTATGATTTAGATCAATAACTCAAAAAGATCTAACGACTTAAACCAGGCTTTATTATTGATAAAATGGAACTGTGTTTCACCCAAAGGGATTAGATAGATAAGATGAGTTGTGGATCTTCTTTCTAAACTACAACGCTGCCACTACGCATATAAATGACATCAGATGTCATAACTAGTGACAGGCGGTGGCGATGGCTGAGCCTTCTTTGGTGGATTTTGCTTCGGCGGAGATTTTGGGTTTGGCGCGCCTGTTGGTGGTGGTGGTGGCGGCCGAGGTTGAGCATTCTTTGGTGGATTCTGCTTCGGTGGAGATTTTGGACTTGAAGCTGGTGGTGGTGGGGGTGGTGGTGGCGGTGGCGGTGCTAGTGGCTTACCCCTGAATCTTGGTGGCTCCTCCATTTCATTTCCATTTTTTGGTGGTGGGGGTGGTCGTCGTCGCCGGCGTGGTGGTGGGGGTGGTGCTGGTGCTGGTGGTGGTCGTCGTGGTGATGGACCTGGTGGTGGTCGCTTACGCCGCCTGATCAGCCTAAGTTTTTCCTCCATGTCTTCTGCCTTTTGTGGTGCTGGTGCTTCTGGTGTTCTTGGGGACGGCGGCGGTTCCTGATTCGTCGGAGGTGCTTCTGCTGGTGGTGGTGTAAGGTTGGTCTTGTGCATGTGCTTGTGCTTAGGTGCATCCTCCAATAACTCAGTTCTCCTTTTAAGTTCTGGTGCCTGTGGTGTTGGTGGCTCTGGCGGCGACTCCGGCGCTGTCGGAGGTGCTTCTACTGGTGGTGGTGTTGGGGGATGCTTGTGTTTGTGCTTAGGTGCTTCCTCCATTAGTTCTGCTTCTTCCTCTGCTGGTGGTATTGGACCTCTCTTTGGTGCCTGGTTGTTGTGATGTTTTCTCAGGTGGTGGTGGGGGTGGTGGTGGTTGCGATGGTGGTGGGTACCAGGAGTGTGTGCTGGTGCTTCTACCTTGTGCTTAGGTGCTACTGCTTCCTCTGTTGTTTCCATCTGCACAAAAGCAGACAGATCAACAAGAGGTGGTTGCTCCTCCTCATCCACCGCCACATCACGGCGGTAATCGGCGATGGAAGGAGTGGTGAGAACCACTAAACCAAGGAAGAAGAGTAACAAGTATGGAGTGGGCATCTTCTAGGGTTGTGAAGGACTGGGTTGGTGCAAAATTGGAGAAGAGGGGTGGCCTTTTATATGAAGGTTAGGCCAATCACCATTAGACACATTTCTGCATGCTTTAACTGCATGTATTCCAGGAGGCTTTCTCTAAAGTAACATAAAGCCCCCTGTTTGGTGGATTATTTTCCTATCCCATTCCTATCTGTGAGTGAATGGCTTTGTGTCCACCATAGTTAAGTAGGATCTCCTTTTTCTGGTAGATAATACTTTATCCCTAAAGCTGGAAAAGATGCATTTGATTGGGATAAATATAACCTGTCCTGCTTTGAAATGAGGAGGGAAAGGAAGTGCAGGTTACTAGTAATGCTGAATAGACTTAAAAATTAAACTTAAAATGTATACTTGATAATCACAATTATTTAATAGGTAATAGGTCTCAATAAATGTTCAGATCCACATTAAAATTATCAAATTTATTTTTAAATCTAGTTTTTAATTCTATGTTGCTCAAAAACTAATACTCCCTTCCTTTCTATTTAGATGCAGTCTTGATTCCTCAACTGCTCTTTGCTGCTTCTTGAGGAAAATGGAACCATGAGTATGACCCTCAATTATCATTCCAAAGACTAATACTAGTGGTTTCACCATTGCCAATAATATTTTTAACTAGAGGCCGGGCAATTCCTCTTTGGCTTTAGTACTTAACTTCCAATTCAAGGGACAAATCTGGTGTTTTTAGGTTCCAAAAATTCGTGCCTTTTGCATACGAATAATGATTTTTAAACTTAATTTGTTAACTTAATTTATTATAATTGTTGATAATGGACCTCATCTATTAATGTGTGAATGTTTAGGTGTACTAATGTGTGTGTATTTTTTGATATATTAGTGTGTTCTTAATATTATTACTTATGCTATTTATAAAAATATAAATACTTAATCCAATGGGTATCTATTTGTAATCCATCTTAACCTGTTTAATTAAAATAAATTATATTACATAACTAATTTATGACCTACATTAATTAATATGAATATCCAACACATTAATTTATAAATAAATTAAGCAGTTTAATAAGTAATAGATTAATTAAATCATGTTTAATTGGGTCTTTATCAATTCATTTATTTGATCCGTCAAGGCTGTTTATCAATTCAAAATTAGTAAAGGTTAAATTCAAATTCATTAATCTGGTGCCCGTTTCGTCTCAGGTCCACGGTTTCTGTCTAAAATTGCTAAACAGGTTCACATGAGGTAAAAAAAAATAGAAGAACAGAAAAATTTATGATTTAGATCAATACCTCAAAAAGATCTAACGACTTAAACAAGGCTTTCTTATTTATAAAATGGAACTGTGTTTCACCCAAAGGGATTAGATAGATAAGATGAGCTGTGGATCTTCTTTCTGCATTACAACAATCTGCTACTACATATAAATGACATCAGATGTCATAACTAGTGATAGGCGGTGGCGGAGGCTGAGCATTCTTTGGTGGATTCTGCTTCGGTGGAGATTTTGGACTTGGAGCTGGTGGTGATGGGGGTGGTGGTGGCGGTGCTTGTGGCTTGCCCCTGAATCTTGGTGGCTCCTCCATTTCATTTCCCTTTTTTGGTGGTGGTTTATTTTTTGGTGGTGGTGGTGATGGTCGTGGTCGTGGTGGACCTGATGGTGATCGCTTACGCCTGAACCTAAGTTTTTCCTCTATGTCTTCTGCCTTTTGTGGTGCTGGTGCTTCTGGTGTTGTTGGGGACGGCGGCGGTTGCTGATTCGTCGGAGGTGCTTCTGCTGGTGGTGGTGTTGGGGGGGTCTTATGCTTGTGCTTGTGCTTTGGTGCATCCTCCAATAACTCAGTTCTCCTTTTAAGTTCTGGTGCAGGTGGCGTTGGTGACCCTGGCGGCGACTCCGGCGTCGTCGGAGGTGCTTCTACTGGTGGTGGTGTTGGGGGATGCTTGTGTTTGTGCTTAGGTGCTTCCTCCATTAGTTCTCCTTCTTCCTCTGCTGGTAGTATTGGACCTCTCTTTGGTGCCTGGTTGTTGTGATGTTTTCTCAGGTGGTGGTGGGGCTGGTGGTGGTTGCGATGGTGGTGGGTACCAGGAGTGTGTGCTGGTGCTTCTACCTTGTGCTTAGGTGCTACTGCTTCCTCTGTTGTTTCCATCTGCACAAAAGCAGACAGATCAACAAGAGGTGGTTGCTCCTCCTCATCCACCGCCAGATCACGGCGGTAATCGGCGATGGAAGGAGTGGTGAGAACCACTAAACCAAGGAAGAAGAGTAACAAGTATGGAGTGGGCATCTTCTAGGGTTGTGAAGGACTGGGTTGTTGCAAAATTGGTGAAGAGGGGTGGCCTTTTATAGGAAGGTTAGGCCAATCACCATTAGACACATGCCTGCATGCTTTAACTGCATGTATTCCAGGAGGCTTTCTGTCGTGTAACATTAAGGAGTGTTTAGTTAAAGGGTACGGGGGTTTGATAAGACCGATTTGGAAAAAATACTTCAAAACCCTCTCGAGTTTTTTGTTTGGATAGAAAATTTAGTCTTAGATTTTTAAATTGGTTCATAATTGCCTTGAAAATTAAATTTATGATTATGAGTTTTGTCAAATTTAAGGGAAGGTGGGATTGAAAAGATGTGTAAGGGGTTAAAGATGTAAAAGACAATTGTACTTTTTAATATAGGTATGAATTTGATTGATCAATGATCAAATGATTATTTATAGGATAAATAATTGTTAATAATTATGATATATTTGTGGGTCTTATATGTATGTGTTGCATACCAAACATAGATATGAATTGAATTGAATTTTGAATCTCATCTTTGTAAAGGGAAATTTAAGTTTAGAAGGATTTGAAAAAATTTATTTAAACCCCCTTCAAAATTCATCCAAATAAGCCGTAAGCCGTAAGCCGTAAGCCGTAAGCCGCAAGCCGCAAGCCGCAAGCCGCTTGCTTGGTGGCCTATTGTCCCATCCCATTCCTACCTATGTGTGAATGGCTTTGTGTCCAACATATTTAAATAGGATCTCCTTTTTTGGTAGATAACATTTTATCCCTAAAGTTGGAAAAGATGCATTTGATTGGAATAAATATACACTGTCCTGCTTTGAAATGAGGGGGGAAAGGACTACAGATAGTAATGAAAGCTTATCATGTTTATAGGGATGGTAGTGGACCAGATAAAAATGGGTATTCGTTCAAATCTGTTCTATTTAGATTGAGAATGGGCCATACATATTGGACGACGAACATATATGGAGATGGATTGAAATTTATCCCCGTCCCGCTTTACCTATTATTATTATTATTATTATTATATATATGTTGTTGTGAATACAAATTTTACATATTATTGAATGATTTTTACTTTTAAAAATTATTTTATTTTTTGATTTTTTTTTTCATAATTTTGGCTTATAAAAGTGTAGATATTTGTATTTTTATATTTTTTATGTTAAATTATGTTATATTACATTATATTGTGTTACATGATATTGTGTTGAATTTACAAGGAAGACAAACTTTTAATTATATTATGTTGGTTTATGTTGTAGACAAAGTTTTAATTATATTATGTTGTAAATGACAAACTTTTAATTATGTTAGATTATTTAGAATTTTAGATTTATTTAAAATTTTGAATTATGTTTACTTAGTGTTAGGCTTGGGCCTGGTGGACGGAGGTGAGAGCTGAGGCGAAGGTGGGGGACGGGGCGGGGGCGGGGGCGGGGATTATTAATTTATCTGCGGACAGGGATGTAGATGAAAATTATATCTGTTAACAAGAGTGGACCGAAGATGGACAGAGTTTTTTTAAGCGGGTACGGGCAGTGCCGGCCCTAGGCCTAGGCCACTTAGTTGGCTGCCTAAGGCCCCTAGTTTTTGCAAAATTTTGGAGCCTCCAGGCAAGAGTTTTAGTTTTTGGTAAAAATATTTTGGATGAGCTAATTTGAGAAGTCCCAAATTTTATTTACTTAGAAAATTGTCCCATTTGCCAACTATTGTAGACCGTTAGACTTCTTGTTAGCTATAGAAGGTTGATAGACTTTTGCAACAAGGAAGATAGATATGACTAGTAACGTCCATCTTTTAACTTCTATCTCTAAGCATCTCTCTTGTCTACAATTGAGAATGCAGTAACACTATCGGGCGAAGAATCTTTTAGAATTGAGTATTTTTTATTTATAGTTGATCTAGTTATTTCTTCGATCAAAAGTAGATTTAAACAATTCAAAATATATGAAAATATTTTTGATTTTTGATTTTGTTTTAAAAAATTAAAATCCTTAGATGATGATTGTTTGAAAAGTGATTGTCTTAACCTTGAAAATTTTTTGAAGCATGATTTATTTTATGATATTGATGGTTTAGATTTATTTCAAGAATTGACTATATTAAGAAAAATCATACTCTAATTTATATAAAATGATTAGATTTTTTTCAAATGCATGTATAGCTTTTAGAATAATTTTAACAACACCGGTAATAGTTGCTTCGGCAGAGAGAAATTTTTCAAAACTTAAATTAATAAAATTTTATCTCCAATCAACTATGTCACAAGAAATATTAAATAAATTAACTATATTATCCATTGAAAAATATATATTAACAAAACTTGAATTTAAAATTTTAATCAATATTTTTGCATCTATAAAAAACTAGAAAAATAATTTTTTAATGAATATATTTAATAATTATTGTCTATTAATAGAGTCCCACTTTATATTCTCGCCTAAGGCCTCTAAATTTGTTAGGCCGCCCCTAGGTACAGGGATGAAAACTACACCTCCTGCCCCCGATTCAGTACACTGTCATCCCTACATGGTCAAGTCGAATCATTTTAAATTTATTTTATTTTACCAGTCAACTCTAATTAAACTCATTCAATTAATAGTGTCAGATATTTTGATTCTACCTCAGACATGTTTATTATTATGTCATGTTTGAATTAGCCCGCACAACTCAAGAATGAAAAACTCGGGACTAAAACATCTTCTCTTAACAAAATCCACCG